CATTAAAAGAAGTCAAGACAGAGGTGTAGAAAGAAATGGTTACACAATAAATGTTAGTGATAAATGAGAAATACTATCTGTTTAGCACATGATAAATGAAAGGTATCATTTATTTCAATTTGTCTTCGAACCAATAATTGCAGGCTCTCAATCTAATGACAGACCTTTAAAATAAGTAGATATATGCTCATGCGAATAATATGTTAATGTTATTTTTCGTTGTACAATCCGTTTTTTGTCGTGTCACAACTAATTATAGTGTTCAAAGTAACTTTAGAAAGAAACTCTACGAAAGGAGCCTATAAGGTTTCTATTTGTCCACATCAAAATGTTGATATATATATATATATTTCACAGATTGAAATCATGAGTCAGTTGAAGCTAGACCACCATTGAAAACCTGGAAGCACTGGACGGCCGTTTCGTCCCAGTATGGGACTCCTCAGCAGTGCGCATCCACGATCCCGCACCACGCGGGGCTCGAACCCAGGACCTACTGGCTTCGCGCGCGAGCACTTAACCACTAGACCACTGAGCCGGCATTCAACGGTGTTAATGTCTAACTTCAACCAATCCACGGAGTTGCGCCACCGTACACCATTGTCTTCAGTGAGTTCCTATCTCACAACAGACCTGGTTGAACTCCACTGGTAACGGCTTCTCACTAGAACTCCAGGAGTTTTTCCTGAAGTCAGTCACTAGTGAGCAGTTGATTATTATCAGAATGTGTTTTGTGGAGATTTTAGAAATTTCACAAATTGAAATCATGAGTCAGTTGAAGCTAAAAAAAATTCTCTTTGTACACGATAATTATGAAACATTGGACCTGAGCTTGACTACTAAAGATGTTTAGATCAACAAAAGCAAGAAAATTGTATCTCGCTACTAAAGTACAATATTTTGAAAAAAAAGATAAAATTAGTTTATAATAAATTTTGAAATAAAAAAATCTTATTCAATAAATGAGCACAGTAGTATTATATACATTCTATTGAAACTAATGGTGGTTTATAATAGGAAATTGTTAATTACATCAGAATCATTCCCTCAATATACTTGTTTCATGTATATTATACAATTTATTGTCAAATAACAAGTTATTTTTCAATATGACTTGCAAATATGGACTTGATTTTCAATATCAAGATAAAGTACTTCTTTCACCTTATCTAATCAAATAGTAATACACAAAGCATTTTAACAAATATACATCAGTATAATAGAACATTTTCATTGGGATTATTAAAGCATACGTCTAGTTTATAAAAAGATTTGTCATTTTTAATGAATACAGATCATAGGATATAGATTTATTTTCCTAATATACTTAAATGAATAATAATACTGAAAATCTCTAGAGAAAAAAAATAAGCAAAACACTAGATTGGAAGTGCCCCCAAATGCCCTGGTACGGCCGAGAGTGGGGAGAGTCCGCTCTCCCTCTCGAAATGCTCTCATATGGCCACGTGTATATAGCCTCTGCCAGGGAAGTCCTACTCACTGCCTTCTCGTGGCGGGGGTGTTGTTCACGAAAATGAGAGGACGAAAAGCGAATGTCCGGCGCTTTAACCGGATTCCAAACCAATGGTGCACATGGGCTCCAGTATCCTGCGGGAACAAATGGCGAATGAACCAATTGTTGGTCACCGGCTTCCATGGGACTGCATCTCCTCACGATGCTCCACTGCCTTGTGGATCAGACCTTCAGGTCGAAGGCTCGGGGCGTGGCCCCCTAAGAAAACCACCTGCTTCGGTTTGGGCACCCGGGCAGTATCACAGCCCTCACACATATCGAATGAGATTTGTGTGGCGCATATGTATTTGGTGCCTCTTTGTACCATTATCTATGTGTTGAAATAAATAAAATAAATAAATAGATTGGAAGTACCTAGTTTGAAAAATAATATAAAACTATTTTTAACAGTTTTTGAGCATAGAATAGATAATTAAAAAACTCTTTATGTGTATTTAAAAGTACAAAGTGATTCGGAAAAACAAGTTTAGATGATAGTGAGTTTAGTGAAGCTGGGTTCTCTGAGCTGGATGGTTTAAATGAATAGACCATTCACTTCAAAAGACAACTCCACTGAATTCATCCTCCTTAACCACAAATTTTCTTCATCGTGTCAAGATAATCAGTTTCCTGACCGTTGCTGATACCTTGACGTATTGGTCGGGCTTGCCTATCGTGACGAACTAGTCGGGCTATACTGGCTGGAATAATCGTTCCTCAAGGTCCTACCATATCATGAAGGTCGGTTAAAGAAAGATAAGACTGAAAACAACAAATCCAAGGTCCGAGGGCGAAGTTGTACAGGGGTGTGACGGCAGTTAGGTGTTTCTTTCAGACAACCAGCATAACAGCGATACTGCCTTCCCACAAACGAAGGGTGCGGTTAGAAAAGATCAACCCTCAAAATACATACATCATCTTATCCCATGGATTTTCTTCTCCGGTAGTAAGGTCTCAACAAGTAGGGAGCTAACACAAAAAGATCGTGTGACCGTCCTCAAGCAGTTGTCCCATGGGCATTGTGGTCACGCTCTCAGGTCAATAAGATCAACTCTGACTCTTTCCTTCCAAGGTACCTCTAGAAAAAATTCCACGGTGTAGGCAACCGGGAAGCGATAACCGCTCTCATACTTCTAACAGCACTCAAGATTACCGCATTCAAATCAGTCTCGCTGCAATCGGACGCTCCTGTCACATTATTAAGCATTTCCTTCATATCAACGAAGGAAAGCGTAACTAGGGGATCCATCTTATTTGAAGCGTGGGGGTCTGTGTAACTGTTTAGTCAACTTAATAAGTATTTGTTGTCAATGATTTTAAATAGATACCTTATTTTTTTCAGACTATTTGCAGTTAAAGTTGCAACTAACCTTACCCTTATGTCCATGGCTTATTCTCATGTGCGTGAGTACATAAATGCAGCAAGTACTGTTCAACAGGATGAGAATTGTTCCTTCAACAATGATAAAACTGCTGGTGTTTCCACAACTACAGAAAAAGGGAATATGAAACAGTCTCAACATATTCTTTCAGAAAAAGAAATTCAGACATCATCAAGAAAGCCTCCTTTTGGTTTCACAGGTTATGACCAACCAACTAAAGATGAAGATTGCTTTTTGCCGACGGGTCTTAGGTATCGGAAATTTAAAAGCGACTCAGGCCCCGTAGATATAACAGTCAATATGGACATAAATCATTCACTAACTTCTGAAGATACATCAGAACTCGCTGGAAATAAGCTTAGAGTGTTAAGTCCAATTTCTACGGGTAGCATTTGGAATGAATTGATTGAACCATATCAATCAATTATGGCCTCTGCAACCGGAACACCAAAGAGTCTATATGAACCTAGTGAATCAGCTCCATTAAGTAAGTGACTTCCCCTTTGACTGCTAGTTAAATTACATGACAGTCGCACAACCTGCTCTTTTTCGACTAATATCATCTTTCTATTTCATTTTAGCACCTCTTAGTCGAATAGGGTCAGCAAATCGGATATTCAATTCTGGGAATAATAAGTCAGAAATCGAGTGCGAACGTGGTTTCCATGGTTCGTGTGTGTTCCAGACTGAAGACAAACCTCAGTTTACTGCTTACACAAATACTTCAATTGCTACATTACATCATGAGGGACTACATGTACGCAACAGGTATGAGATGACTAGTATCTTAGAATTATATAGCAATAAAGACGAACCATTTACAACAATGATACGACCTCCTAGTGCTTGTGTTTTATTAAGACCAAGGTATTACAGTATCGATCTAGGTATTCTGACTACTTTTTTAAAGTCTATGGAATGCAATGTACGTGCTACAGATGAAACACCAATTAAAGATGGAAGTGCTCAGGAAAATGAATCAAAGCCTACCTATACTTTCAATCCTATACACAAGCGCCGGATACGTACAATGACTGAAAGTTCAGGTACTGCCCCTTCACATCCTCCAAGGGATCCTACAATACCAATTCTATGGGAACGAAGCAGTAGGAATAGTACGGCCAACCAGTTCGGTTTGGATCGACTGAAACCAATAACACCTGGACGAGTAAAGCAGCCATTGTCTGATATTGATCGTTATTCGATGGTAGAAGGACAAATTAGTTGACTCAACTTGTGTAATTTAATGACTGTACATTTCTTGTATGTATATTCTAAAATAACAAAGTGTTTTAATCACAGTCTTTTAGAGACCCTGAATCTGATGTAACAACTAATATAAAATAGTGGAACATAGTGATTAAGAAAAAAACTGGTTGGTAGTGCTAAATATATCCCATTCACTCAAAAACTTAATAAAGCGAAGTTAAAGTATATTAGTTGTGTTCGATTTCACAACTTAACCAATCAAATATTCTTGACCTAAAAGCATACTTTTAGAATATACTGTTGAACAGAATGATATTTGTAATTGGAATGTGCTATAGAAGTACACATCTAAAGTTCTTAATATACGTTAGTGTCGTTTTAACCACTGAATTTACATTCATCACGGATACGTTTTCCCACTACAGTGAAACACTTCGAGGTCCAACTTTTTTGACTACCAAATACGATTTTTTTCCTCTTCTTTAGTTCTCAGTTAATTTAAAGGTCGAATCCTAATCACATACTTAGAGGCACAGGACTAACATAAGAGAGGAAAGAATTAATGAGGCAAAACATCTTTAATTGCAGCAAAACCGAAGAGTGTGTGAAATGAATAGGTTAGGCGGAAAATGGGATTCCAGAGCCGGGGAAATTAAAGAAGAGTAATTAATACAAGTAGATTACATTACCCACCCCTGTCGAGAATGGCATTTAGCAGATAAATTTAAGGTCAGGTATGAAAAGGAGTAGTTTTTTCTGTCAAATACAAAACGTTGATGATTGTTCAGAAATATAGTTGAAGATTTTCAATAGTCAGTCATATGTAGAACCACGCGATATACATGAGTTACTAACAAAAACGACACTTGTTTCACACTCCTGGATATTTGAAATGGTCACGAAAGTTTTGAATTTGTTCGGATAGTTCCCAGTTCATTAAAGTCATCAAGGAGCTCTCCAAATGGTAATTGATTTCCTGACGTTGATGTCTTTTCGTTTGTGCTTGACTATAGAAATAAAATACATAATTTTTAAAAGGAAAATGAGGGTTTTAGTAGATTTTGATAAACTCATATATTACACAGCACATGATGCTTCTTTCACCATCAATATCCTCTTCGCTACTTATGATATATACAGAAACTGCTGCTAGATAACGGTTTAAGGGATTGCAACATTGAACTGAATGGTAAAAGTGCATGAGCCTAGTGTTTGTTTCGCTATTCGTCTCGACTAATCTTAGAGATGGAAAGATACTTCTACATCAGTGTATGTGACTCTGAGCAGCGTACCGGGAAGACGCTTATAGTACTAAACATGTGTTTAAAATGTAGAAACAAAACCCTAACTAATAAAAACATTTTCTATACCTGATTGCATTGCTAGAAGTGGGAACAAATTACTCTAACTATTGGCCTTGTTGCATATACAGCGTTTTATTCGTAGTTCTCGACTACAAACTATGTACAGAAGTACCAACGACAGGCTGAACTTACTTTATTCTTTTGGTTCGAAAACTCCGTCTCAAAAAATACTCTGCTTTGGTTACTTTCAGAATAATTTATCAAACAGAGGAAGTTTGTTAGTGATAGAATCAATACATCCATCCATGACTTTGTAAAATACATAAAAAACTCTGAATGCATTTTTGGATCCGCTGCGTAAGGCAAAGCTGTGTGTAGATTAATCAACGTAATAATAAAACATTACCACACCAACTTTGCCATTCCTCTTTTCCAAAGGAAAACTGCGAAGAAAGTAATTCGAAAAACTCAGTCATTTTAGCTTGACGTTTCTTTATTTTAGCCTGCACTAAGTATGTACGAAAAACATGCACTTTGAGCTCGTTGGCAGCAAGTTGTTTATCACCCGATAACCGATGAAATAGTGTATTTTCTAAGAAATTCCACTGATTGGTTAACTGAGATAAATTAGAATCGTAGATCGCTTCTTGAAGTTGATCGATAATATCCAGTGGCTGAAACTGGATACGCCATTATCAATTAAAGCGAATTACTTTCCCTCTACTTTTTTCTTTCGAATACTCGATTTCGAATGCATTCAGTGTATCTTTGAAATTCTTCGATAATAAGTAGCGTCGAACAAAACGCTCACAAACACCATCTTGCATCCTTACTCTGCTAAAGGAACCAAAGTACTACATTAATGCAACTATTAACTTATTAATAAAATGAGATATGTAGCAGATGAGAAAGTTACAAGTCACTAGTATTCCGAATATCTTTGATATCATAACCACGTTAGGACGTTTGCCCACCTTTTCAATCCTAATGTGACAATATTACTTGACTTCTGATTTGCGCATGTCTCTTAATGAAATGACATCAGTAAATTAGATCATTTTAAGTGTACTGTATGAAGAATAACTGAGCGGACTGTTCCTAACAATTATTATTATTACATTGAGGCTAGATAACGGTATTATTAATCTTAGTGCATTTTACAAGTGTTCTGCGGAAAACCAACGCGACAGCAGTTTATTGTTGCTAAAGTGATCTGGAGTATGCGAATGATATTATATTGATGTGTGATGATACTCGAGACACAAAAATCTCAATTAATTTGGAGTTAGTGTCCATAAGTATGTACTATGTACTTTCTAAATCCAAATACCAGGAACCCATGCCTGCCCTCACTTTTGATGGTGAGACGTTAGCAGTCGGAAAGTTTGTTTATCTAGGTAGCTGTGAGTGCTGGTGATACTGTTAGATGAAATAAATCTACGTGTAGTGGACAGAGCAATTTTCGCCACTCTGATGCTGTTGTGATGTTAGTTTAGCTATAAGAAGTTGGGTCTACAACCCATTGGTGAGAGCAGTTCTACTCTGTGCTTGCGATATCCGACCTTTCGAACTTGAGGATGTTAGATGATTCATCGCTATTCCAGGAGGGTTGTTGACATTCAGCAGCAACACGTTAATAATGAGGAGATTCCGGAATGTGTTCGGGCACACAGACGATCACCATGAGGAACCGGGTGCGGAGGCCTAGACACAAGTAGAAATGTCACCACAGAAAATTTCACTCCGTCCGTTACTTAACGCTACAACTGAGTGGAGAGGTGGTCACTCTATAATATAGTACCATGATATGAAAGAATGTAGAGGACTGGGATCTATCTGTCAGTCACAACTCCTTAGTCGGTGTTCTAGAGATAGTGCAACTAAGTGGCCTGAGATATCAGACTACCCAGGACAGAAGACGATAGCGTTCTCGCTGTAGTTTTCTACTACATTCTTCATAAAAGCGAAAGGAAATCCTTCGGTTGGGAGAATGCTTTCGGGACTCTCGTACTACAAGTTACACTCTTCCACTTGTTCATTTTGATTACACTCTGGCTCCATGCACGTCTTCACAATACTAGTTTTCTGTGGCGCATACTTATTTTAGAGCCCAGTTATATCGGTATTTGTTTTAAATAGAATACTTAAGATAGTAGGATGCATATGAGCTTCATAATCTAACCAAGGAAATACCATTTACATTGTAAAGATGATATTTTTCGTCTGTTCAGCGATTTAGATGATTGCAGTCTACTCGACGTTATTTAACATACAAACTATAACCACTTAACATTGACCAATACCAGTTGATACGGATTAGTCGATTAAAAAGGTAAGGTGTTAGTTGAAAGCGGCATTCGAGGAAGTAACAGCTTCTATCCCATGGTCAATTTAATGTAAGCTATCCCAAGGGCCTCCATAGAACAATGAGCTATGAACGATAGTAAAGCGTGTGATATATTTCTAGGACTTGATTTTCATGACCACTCTTAAAGCAATGAAGCTTTAGTACCAAAAAGTCAGGAATGCACGTAAACTGACCATTATAAAAACTCACATCGATTACTAAGTGAAGTAAGCTTATGATAAACAAATTGACTTTTCATACTTTAAAAGGACAAAAGTCCTTCGGTATTGTGATGTTAGAATTCATACATATGGTTCCGATGACCTTGAGTCCTAATAAGTTAGAAGACTGGAATTGTTGTTCTGGAAATTATTTTCAATGAAAGTTGGATTGGTCACGCTCACCGTCGACGGTACCCCAACAGTGGAACACTACTTCCGTAAACAAGAAATCTGAAGATAGACAAGTAATTGTACACTAACAGTTTTGAGTAGTAATGTGGGCAGGAAGACTACTAAAGTATGAGGACCGCGTTAGCGGAGATCTTGAGCCGCTAGCTGAAAACAAAGATTTCTCCCTATCTAGTGTTTTTAATACTTGACACGAAATAGTGCGACTAGCGGGCGGATGCTAAGTTGATATGTCAATTTAATCGCTTACGACGACCGAGTAAGACGCGTAAAACATCACCCTTAGTATATGGAGTAATGAGACATTATTTTGGAGTTCCGTATTAAGAGAGTGGAGCTTAGTGTAAGCAGGCTTAATCTTTTTGTAGCTTTTTAACACGACGTTGAGAAATGAGTTGGAAACTGGTTTTCAACCCACTCGACGACGCACGGTCAAATAAACCTAGAGCGCGACACCGTCTCTCGTGGATTTGCACTGACCAGAACCCCGACCCAAGAAAATGGTGCAAGCCACGTCGATGAACTCTGAATAGATAAACACAGGTCAGTTGACATAATATTCTTATTACTGAAGGGTCTGTAAATTTGAAAACACTTTAGTCTAACCAACTGGGGAGTGCGCCTGAAACCATAGGGATACAGACATACCTTAGGACGAAAACATCCCGTCTGACTTCGATCACTACTACTGAGCCGTAACGCGATATTCAAAATGGTTCAAATGGTTGTGGACGGGATAGAAGAAGCTTTCGCTTAACAGGCTTCCGTGTCTAGTAGCAGGGGATCACCAAATCCTCCAGGCAGGAACCTAGGTATGTTAACAATAAAAGAGGAAAAGAAATTGGGAAATCATAGTGTGATACTGTCCTTGGTCCTTAAGAATAGGTCAAGTTGCCTCTTGAAGGACTCCTGAGAAGTCGCTTGGACTATCTCGGCCGGCAGCGAATTCCAGCTTTTGACAACTCTTAAGGAGTAGAAGTTGTGTCTACATCCCGTCTTGCTATGTTGAGTTTCCAGTTTCTAGGTGTTACCCCTTAGGTTATTATTCGCACTAAGCTTAAGTAGGTGTTTAAGAGGATGTCCAGAAGTGTTAAGAATACTATAAGCCATTAATAAGTCACGTGTAAGACGCCTATACTCTAATGGGTAAAGGTCTAGTGAATGGAGGCGTTCTTCGTAAGGTTTAGATTTGAGTCCGCGAACTGATTTCGTGGCTCGCCGTTGGATACGCTCCAAAGTGACCTTGTCCTTTTGGAGTGGGGGGAGTACTATATTTCCGTACTCTAAATGGGGACGGATAAAACTATTGAAGATTGTATGGAAAGTTCTTCCGTCAAACTGGCCAAAAATGCGCTTCAATGTTACCAGTGCAAGGTTAGCTCGGAAGGCATTTTTGTCACAATTAGCGTAAGACTTTAAGTCATGGGGCACCAGGACTCCTAAATCTTTTTCGACTTGGGATACTACTAGAGAGGAGTTTCCTAAGTTGTAACTTTGGTTTGCGACATGTCGCAGATGAACTACTTTACACTTTGAAGTGTTAAAGGTAAGTCCGTTATCGTCTGCCCAACTTTGAAGTCGATTCAGGTCCTCCTGAAGTGCCTGTGTATCGTCTTGGTTGCGTATCTCTCTCCAAAGTTTCACGTCGTCGGCAAAAAGTAATAAGTCTGACGTAACCTGTTGAGGAAGATCATTTATGGGCTGCAATTAAACGCAACTCAATTTCGTAAATGTGCCTTTCAGCTTAGCAACCAATCAGAATGTGGCGGAAATTATTATATCCGCCATCTTTGTACGTAATGACGGCCGGCTTTCTTCGTTCTGTGCTTCTTTTAGCTATTACTTTTGTGTAGCTATGTAATTAATATTTCAATGTGCTAAGATGCCGCAGTTAGTGTAGGGTTCTACATGTTGGTGTGAAATTGACTTCGAATCAGCAGGGTGATCTTATCCGCAACGCAACCATGTAAACTTAATGTACCGGTCATCTGTGCGTTCAAGTAACCACAGATTTTGACATTTCATAATGTATTTTTAATTAAATAACTAGATTATATAGCTAATTTTGATCTTTTTTATATTTTTATTCGTCACGTTCGACTGCGTTACACTGCACGTCCATTGCACGCTGGGACGATATCTCAAGTCATAGTGAGTTTATTCACATAGCTGATTGTTTCCAGATAGACTGTCAGTGCATGACTGTAGAAAGGTTTATTGTACTATAAACTATGTTTTTATGGACAACTACCTGTTGTTTTCAGTCGGAAAGCAATATATATATATTCTTTGTCTTCTGTTCGGTAAGTTCAATTGGCCTATATTTCGTGTTTTTATTTTATCGTCTCAATTATGTCCACTTAACTACTTTAAGCAATATGCCTGTGCAAATGAAACAATAACTATGGCACTTGCTTAGTTTAGTATTCTTGGTTGTCGTATAATTCAGTTTAGTTGAAAGAATTATGGTATAGTGCTTGAAGTCTGTAACGAAACAGATCAACCTAGTAAGTAGAGTTGCCTGTTTCTGATGAGTATACTGATTCAAATCAGTCTGATTAAAAATAGGAAAAAAGTGCTTTTGGTACTGTTGCTGTCATACATTATAAGATGGCGATAAATATGTTTGGTTTTTATTTCTAGATTGTACATCTATCACTGACCATATTTCATGATCACTGTCATTAAACAATTTCCCCAGCAATAACATCGGTAGCAGGATAGCTAAGTATCTGAGCTTTTACTTGCCCGTAGAAGAGCAGTATACAGTCTTAGAAGATGAGTGTTCTGTATTTCAATTAAATGCAGTTGGCTGTGGACAAATGTTAAGAATCTTTTTGACAACTAGGACTTTTAGTTCATCAAACAATAACTCTGCTTGTATGTCTCCCTGTTAAACTAGATGCAGATACATGGTAATACTTAAATGAGAGCAAAATAATAAAAGCATTGAGATACGGTATTAAGTCCATGTTATGCTTTGCACAATAAATAGCTGACCTGACCTAATATTCATGAACTAAAGGTAAATCACAACTGCATAAATTCTTTGCTAAAATACATGTAATTT